CGTAAGGTTAATTTGGACAGAGTTGTCTATGAAAAATTGCTATGATCCATGCTAGTGATCTATGAGAAAGAGTATGAAGCAAGACTTTCAGACTAGAAGGGATTGGCACGAGACATAGGCGAGGCATTTTCTGGCGTCACTCGTCCCAATCCCCTTATCATCCATACCGCCCCTGCGTATTCGAGTTCAAGGGAAAACACTCGTCTAATCCTGAGAGAGAAGGCCGGCTGCCAGCGGTCCACGGACTGGCTTGTTCGTAACAAAAAAGGCTTCATGGTAGTGCTAAGAACGCGGTCCGGATTGCAATGATTATAAATACCTTGTTTAACAGCTCGAACAGAGGAATCAGCACAAACTTGATGAAGCCAATCTGTGCAGTTGGTTTACTGACTTTATCACGGTCCATAAAAGGCGCCACTGGAAGTCCTTCAGACTTCTCACGATCGCTCTGCAAGTAAAAAAGCAATGCTTATGTCACAAGGATTCCTCGCTCGCCTTCGAAACTCGTGGACATGATTAAGGACCAACAATTGTATGGAAAAGATTTCAAATAATCAAATTTGCTAGTCGACTTCACTAAACTTAAAATAATTTTAAGGCTTTCATATTGCTTCCAAAAACCCCTTTGCAACATGCTGTATAAAATCCAAGGGACGGAACATTATTTTTTTCCAAAAAAAAAAGAATTTCTGCACAGCAGAAATTGCTGAAAAAAATCGTGCAAGGGGAGCCATGGGAAAAAAATCGAGCAGTTTTCTCTGCTATCCAGGTCCTATTTGTGATTTTAAAAAATTCTTGCACAAGCTATTGCCCACCAAAAGAGAATTCATACACAACCTAAGGATGAGAAAAAAAATTCATGCCCCAGAAAATTGCCCAACTCCAGCCCGCCCAGTCAAAAATATAATGGTCCGTCCCTAAGTAAAACAGGAAAGACTTCATTCTTCATCGAAAGAGTAAATTCAAACCAATCACGACTCTGCTGAGTTTTCGGCATTTGTTGCCGACTGCGTCTTTTTGCTTCTAAATCTGATTGGTTTATTGTCTGTTTTTCAGATTTTCTATATTTTTCTCACAATACTTAGCAGATACTCTCTCAACGCTCTTTGAGTGTTTTCATTTAACGTTACACTTCATTCTAACCTGCATGAAGTACTCTTCGAGAAGACAGTCAGCCCAGGGCTCTGATACTTCTAACGGTCGAACTTCATTTGAAATGTCACAACACTTAATGAGAATCATCTTGAGCTAATCAGCAAAAGAAAAAAAAAAATACATGTTAGCAGAAAAGTAAAATAGTTTAAGAAACCCAGGCCAATGAGTTTTGTGTATAATTAATGATTCTCTACTGCTGCCAGAGATACCAGAATTTTTTCTTGTCCCATGCACATGACAAACTGAAGAAAGAAAGTATTCATTTCATTTGCCTACTCACCGAGCTAACGTAATCATCGTTGTGAAAGTCAAAGGTGTCCAGTTTACTCTTAAACCGCTCCACTATCTCACTGTGCCGTGCCATATCTGTAGCCAATATCAACATCACAATTTCCTACGACACAATTATACTGTTTTTTTATTATTATTATTTAAAATACCGATTCATTTTAGTATTTAAGATAATTTTGCACTTCCTTTGCTCTTTCACGTTACTGTACATTGCAAATGTCTCACCTGGCGAACCTTTTTCTGGTCTTCTTTACTCATGTTGCAGAATAAATTGCAATCAGGCTGGTTGGAATAAAAATAATATTGATTACGCTCACGGATGCATTGCGGACCTATTTTCTGATTCTTATTAGGTAGCTGCCTTGATGGTTTTCGAAGTACGATACACATCGGAAATGCACTTGTCCATTGGAAAAAACACTTCAAAGAATATTTTTTGGGGGCGAAATTGCCCCGTCCTAATAATCGGTGCTAATTTTGAGATGAAGTAAAATCTGCCACGGTAAAAGCGCGCCACGTTTCGATCGAACTTCGGTCATTGTCAAGCTCATTTCGTGCGAGAGTTTTTAATCATTTTTAATTATGTTATTCTTGCATGCATTTTAGTGTTCTTAACACCCTTTTTTACATTTTCATACTTTACATACTTTTAATTCTTTGTTTTATATTCATACTTTAAGTATGAATATAAAACAAAGAATTAAAAGTATGTAATATACAAAAATTTTTATCTTCACTTTTAAGCTTAATAATGACCAAAGTTCGGTCGAAACGTCACGAGCTTTTACCGTTAGTTTTTACCTCAAATTTTTTTAAAAAACCTTTACTTATAAGAATTTTGAGATGAGAGTCAGATAATGTACCCAATCGCTGTTCGTCGGTCACCCTAACATATTCTGACTCGCTTGCTAATCATACGGGCTCCTGGCCTGGAAAATTAATCTATCAAACTACTGGAAGCAGAAAATACCTGTGATAAAATAGTAAGAGCCGAAAAAACATTTTACCTAACTGACTTTTAAGTTGTTCTTCCCCTCGCAAATGATGTGATTAATGCATGTTAAAATGTGATAAGGTTAGCTTGAGTATCTGAGCTAAGAATATTGAGGGACCTGGGTTTGAAATCTGGAAGTGCTTGGTTGAAATCCTTCAACTGACCCCTCCATCTCTCCGGCAGGGCAGCACTTTGTAAAGAGGCCAACTATTCAGCTTCCTACCGTGCAGTTGAAACATTATTTGTTCAATGTGCAATATATATTCGTTAGTTTATTCCGGGAGTGTCCGCAGTTACAGCCAGCACTTAAATAAAGTCCCGTTTTGGACACATGTGCGCATTGCGGACCAACATACTTTCAATAAGAGGTCATTTAAA